TGCACAAGTGCAAGGAGCTGTACAAACACAGAGCAAAGAAAATACTGCCATCCTGACACCTTTGCTGTCAGGTAAAGAGACATAGAGGTTAAGGGGCTAACACTTGGGATTAGGGTAAATCCTATTTAAAAACCTGGTAAATCCTATCTAGGCTTCAAAATAATATTTTTTTTTTATTATGAGGTGAAAGTTATGGCAAAATGAAGTTTAGGACAGAGCTGGTAATGGACAGCATTCCCCATTCCACAGATCAGCCTGTAGTGCAGGCAAGGACACGGATTAACTACCCAGAATAAAAGTGAGAGTAAACTCCCCTTTGTCCCTTGGAAGGGCCTTTCCATCTGTGACATCTCCCGCCCCTCAGAGTTAATGAAGGGAGCAGGAGGCCTCTGGGAACTGGGTCAGTGGCAGCTCCAGCACAGGGCAGCTTAATTAAGGAAGGAAAGTGAGTGAGGGGGCAGGAGCCTGGTGTGGCCAGCCAGGAGAGCAGCTGGGTTTGGGTCAGCTGATGAAGCTGCATTTCCACCTGCCCTAGTGAGCTGCCTCGTGGTGTTCCCCATAGGATGGAAGACACAATCTCTGCTGCCAAGGACAGCCCTGCAAGCTGTTCTGCTCCTGACCTCTCCCTGTGCAATGGACTAGCCACATTTCCTTTCTGTTAAAGCACATTTGCTTGGCTCCAATACTCCTCACAGGGCCAACAGACACACTTTTAGACTCAGTAGTTGTCTTGCAAGAAATCTATTCCTGGGCTGATGTGGTCCAGCATGGCTTGGGCCATGTTTCCTTGTCTTCTTTGATATTCCCTGGCAGGCTCTGAAGATGGTAAAAAAACCCCAAATCCTAAGAAATCCTTAGGGCTATGTCAAACCAGAACAAGGGAGAACTGGTTTCACTGCAGGAATGTGAGATGAGAAACAAAGTTTGCTCCCAAGAATTTGTCTGGGGGATTGAATATAAACCCTACTGAGATGCCTGGACCCAGATGCAACTTTCCTAACAGCACAGGGTCAGTCAGAATTGCAGTCTTCGTGTGGCCTCATTGCTTTCAGAAGCTAATTTTTATTCAGGCAGTTCTGTGTGTCTCAGAACAGTGGGAAGGTGTTCCTCCTACCTCACCAAATGTTGGCAGGGGGATGGGGAGCATGGAAGCAGGAGTGCTGGTCCTGGGAACTGTGCTCTGTTGCTGCCCCACAGGGAATTGCACAAGAGCCACACAGGCCTCTGGTTTGTGTTAACTAATTAGCTGAGTAATGCAATCTCCTTTTGAATGTCCTTCCTGTTCTAGATCAAGAATGAGACATTCACTGGTTAAATGACTTACCTGAGGTCACATGGGGAGTGACTCACTGGCAGAGACAGGAATTAACTCCTGGTATCTTTAATTCCTACTTCCTAGACCCCATGGCCTCTAATTTCTAGTGCTCTTCTCTTTCCTCTCCTGGCCTTTTTGCCTCTTTCCCACTGCAGGATTTGTCACACGTGCAATTTCCAAGGTGACAATATCTGACCACTGCCAAGAAAACGAGACATCTGTCCTTTGCTGCAGACATCTACTGATATACAAAGAAGCTGAAGTTCCTTTTATTTCTTATCTTTTTGGAGCATTTTACCATGTTCTGCCCGAGCTGGCACAGTGCCACATCTCCTCTGCGTACAAGCCTCCAGCACTGCACACACTGAAGGTGTTAGCCTGTCTTATAATGTTATTTTCTGTTTCTCCAGAAGCATCTTTGCTGCAGTCTCCCTGAAGTGGGAACATTCTGCCCATACCCACTGTTAGTACAACAGCATAATCACTTGCAAAAAATCAGTGGGTGGGTTTTATAAATCCCAGTTCAGTGTTTAGCAAGGTATAACATCTGTTGTGATCAATATTTAAGAGTAAGCCTCTTTGATAAAAAGTTACAGTAAAGCCTTTTGCTTCCTACTGAATAGCTAAATAATTCACAGGAGTGGTTGTAATCACTTTGAGCTTCTTGCGTTTCAAAGTAAGCAGAAAAGTCAGAGTAATTCTGTAGAGAGGCAGAATAGCCAGCTGGATCGTGTTCCTTAGGAGCTGCTGTACTGGGAATGAAGTACTTTCAGGTTTTTTAATGGCTGCTGAGGTATGCTGGAGTCAAATCAGGCAAAAAATTGTCTCTTTTATCATCCGTTTTTGGTGATAATCTTCATGATACTCTGGCGGGTAAGTGCCAGCAGTCAGTGCAGAAATGATACCTGGGGTTTGACAAGTCTGCAGGAGCGGGACTGTCGGGTGCGGCGGGAGAGGAGGGTGTTGGTGTGAG